GACCTGAAACGTCAGTTTCCCTGCTCCTCTGATGCTGCCTGGCCTGCTGTGTTCCACCAGCTCCACACTGTGTTATCTCTGACTCCAGCACCTGCAGTTCTTGCTATCTCTGTGATTTTTATCTCTTTATATTCCTGTTACTGTTTTTCTCAATTAGGAGTCTCTTACTGAGCACAAATTCCGTGCTCGTCACTCCAGTATTGCTCAATGGTTGCTGAATCTAATAGTTCATATTCTGGGCTGGATGCTGTCCTTGGGGAGTGTTGTTGGGTGTGCTGTTGGAATTCATTACTACTCAGAAAGCATGCTGAAGGTGGGTCTTGTCTTTACATGATGTGATTCTATCAGTCAGTGAGTACTTATAAATGTGCAGTCATGATCATTTAAATGTTGAGTTACGGTAAGAATCATAGACTCAATACAGTGCAGAAAGAGGCCACTTGGCCCATCAAGTCTGCACTGACCCTCTGAACAGCATCCTACACAGACCCACCCCCATACCCTTTCCCTGTCTCTTTGCATTCCCCATGACTAATCCACCTGACCCGCACATCCCTAGACACTACGGGCAATTTATCATGGCCAATCCACCTAGCCTGCACATCTTTGGATTGTGGAAGGAAACCACAGCACCCGGAGGAAACCCACGCAGACACAGGGAGAATGTGCAAACTCCACACAGACAGTCACCTGGGGCTGGAATTGTACCTAGGTCCCTGGCGCTGTGAGGCCGCAGTGCTAACCCCTGAGCCACCCTGCTGCGCTAAGCTAATTTATCTGTTTTGTGGAAATTTTTAAGATTCTGAAGGGTATTGGTTTTCATAAACTGTGTAATCAGAAACCAAGCAATGTGAAAATTGTGACTTGCACATTCAGAATTGTTTGATCTCTGATGCTAACATCAAAATAGTTCTGTGCCCCAGTCATTTAGGCTTTTGTGCAAGCTACGTTTCATTCTAAATTTTCTCAGTGGAATTTTGTACAGAAGGGAAGGTTTCATAGCAAGCGAGTAAAAATTTCATCTTATATTGGAGATTGTCATTGAGCAAGAAATTGCCCTTTCCTTTGAAGTGATCTGGCTGGAAGCCAGTGCATAGTTAATGCAAATGCTGCTAAATTAAAATGGGGGAAAAAGTCGAGAGGTTTGTGTTGCGTTCAAAAATAGATGGGATCAAATTAAAAATCAAACTGTGGATTTTTTTCGTGATGTATGATCATTTTTGTTAAAAAGACCTTCTTCCATCTTTGCTATCAATAATCTCCCCTAATCCAGTTCTGAAGCAATTGACAACTTCCAGTACATAACCACACTCTGGCACTTCTCACAAATGACCAGCATTCTTCAGTTTAAGCCCATGGAGTGCAATCAGGTATTGAAGTATTGAACCACCATTGCCATTCATTGCATGTCAGTTCTGTTCTCCCAGTGTTTACCAGAATGAGCAATTTGACCGTAAACCGAGTCTGTTATCTGAATCTTCACGTAAGAGAGATAGTGAAATGCATCCCTTCCTCATTGAAATGTGTCACTGTACTCCTTGTCTAATCAGCTGTAATAGCGTGTTTGAGATGGTGGCAACTTGAAAATAAATCTTTAATGTGTTGGTGAATTTGCTTAGTTGTATTTCCTATTTCTTCAATAATTTGGACATTGTTACAATCCCCGCTACAGATAATTTTGAAGGGATTTGCTGGCTGTGTAAGCTTTGCGATGGAATGGATTCGCATAATGCTCAAAGATCTCCTCAGTTCATGGTTGTGGAAAAGAAGCGGGCAAATGGTCTAATTTGGTGACCTTGATTAATATTTTTCAGTTTGGCTTCATGATGTATGTAGTGAAAAAGCAAGCTGCCAATTGCATTGAGAGCTAGTTGATTTACTCCAGTGCTTCAGTAGAGATTTAGAAAGAAATAACCTTTTCATTGACATTACATTTGGTGTATGCTAAAGGTTTTAGTTTTGACATTTCTGTCAAGCAGTGAGTTCAATAAATTTATTGTTGATGTCCTTTTATGTGCAAATACTGAGTCACAATTTGTGGCTTGAATTTTATGACAAGCTTATCATAAATTGACAATTCATGTAACAGACCATGTCCATTCTTTGGATAGTGGCACAAATGAGGGGTGGAAAATGTCATAAACCACAATAGTAAAGGTTAGAACATTTCCAAGACCTGGCAGTCTAAGATTGTGTTGTAATTTGCAGTCCACACCAAACAGTGTTTATTTCTAAGAAGGAAGAAATTCCCAATTCAATCTGAATGTGCAAATTTCAAGTCAAGCCCATCGTGATGGACGAGTAGTTTTGATGTGACATCATGTTGCAGAAATGACAGCTACAACCTGAGCCTCAGCTATTTATTTTGATCTCTTAAGATTGAATCAAATGTTTTTTTAAAAATGCAATTTTATTTTCCATGTTGCTCACTGAGAGAATACTTGAGTTTGATTGGCTGTTTACTCTACATGATGTTGTACTCTTTCTCACTTCCTCAAGTTAATTTGCCCCCTTCTATTGTACAAAATTTCAAAGTTTTTCTCCTTTCTAAGTGAAAATAAACAGTATCTGGAATCTGTATCAATCTTATACAGTTTATACAAACAAATGAAATTCTGACCTTGTCAAATCTCGCTCGCTCTCTTGCTCGCTCGCTCTCTTGCTCGCTCGCTCTCTT